TGAAGCTGATCTTTTGTTAACTTAATCGATGCAGAAAGCAAACTAAAGAAAGAAGTCACAGTGTATAATTACGTTTGTTCAAAAACCAAAACAATTAGTTATGTGACCAGAGCTCCCACGCAAGTCACTTTAGTTATTGCAATGACTTTGATGCAACTGATCAACATCCACTGTGTGTTGTAACAGATAACAGCACATCTTTAGCAGCATCTCAGATGTAATGAGTTTTGATAGCAGGCTGGTGTGGACATTTCAACTACAGTTCTGGATCTGACTGGAGTCTCCGTACAATGCAAGGACTGTGATATTCTCGAAAAGTAATGTAAGCCTTTGCGCCCTGGTTACTGATGATCAGAACTTTCCAGATCATTGAGGTCAACTGGCTACCAGCTGTGATGTTGGCACTCATGTGCTAATACTGTGCTAGGACATAGGAACCTCTGCAATGCAGAGCATGCTACCTTACAGTCAATTTTATCAATAAGTATTGTTTAACAGTACAAGAACTTTGGCTTGAGTTGTAGGAAGAACTGAAGGTTTCTAAAATGATCATGATGTCAAGGTTTATGAAGCAAAGGTCATAAAACTGAACTCTTGTGTGAATCAACTGTAACATAATTGAATGATGAAGAAGGTTCAAGGGGATAAAGGATTGTTTGCTGTGCCTAATATTCTGATGTTCCTACATGGCCCATTATAAAGCTGCAGACATTAAAAATGCCAAATTCACTTTTTTTCCCATCCACGATGCAACTCTTTAAATATTTTTTCTGAAACTCTACTTGGTTATTGGGCATGCCTGCAGAATCCTAAATCTAACATTTTCTTGATTGAATGGAGTCTTTGCATCTAATAACTTAAAATTCTTCACATTAAAGATTAAACATCAATAACAGTTGATGCTGAGTACATTTTTGTCTAATTTTGTACCAACTTCAATTAAATTAACAACAGTAAATGAACCCTGGCAAATTCCTCACAATATTAGGAGATATCTCAATATTCCAAATTTGGTAATTTTTTCCTATTTTAATAATCATTTACAGTCACATTGTTGACCGATATATTGTATGATGTAGTCCAGAATTCAACACCTGTTTCCCCATGGGATTTATTATTTCCTCAAATTAACATTAGTTTATCCCAAACGCTTCTCTATTTGCCACCATTCCTCCTCCCCCACCCACACAAACTCCAAGGCCTACACTCAGCTCAGGAGGCAGGAAGACTAACCACAGATATCTACACCACAGTTAACAGGCCCCAGGCCAAATTAAATCCCTCTGTGCAGCTCCTACGCATGATGGAACTGAATAGTCTCTGTTGTCAGGGACACATTGGAAAGAAACCTGTTCACTCCAGCAAAATTTTCTCTGCACTTCCTTTGCTGACACAGCACAGGCTGTAGATGTTACAATGTTCTGGATTCGTAAAGTGATCGAGCTTTGATCAAAGTTGCCATTTGTGAACTAAACTCACACAAAATTAGGATGCAAGTCATCCCTATTGTGACCACTAGGCAAAAGAATTCTTAGAATGAAGTATCTGATCATTTGATGATATTGAACATGGGGGTGGTTAATATTAGGGCTTTAGTGAAGATGAGCAATCATAACATTTCTAGCCTCACCAAAGATGTCCACATCCTTGAATGAATATAAAAATAGCTGCATCACTGACTGATTTAGAAAGAGGTGATTCTTACAGAACAGGTTAAAGAATGAAATCTGATAGTCCCAGGGAATATGTTAGGGATTTACAGTGTGCTGATAGCCAGTCACAGCATGATGCTTAAATTTGCGACTTAATTGTACTTGTAATGCTTTTGAAAGATTAATCTGTACATTTCCAATTGAGAAATCAGGAAACTGTCCTGCTGTTTACTGCATGTGACTGGGAACTGGGAAATCTATCCCACAGACCACAAAGGCCTGAGGATGCAGATAAAGAAAGCCTCAGTGGAGCAGATGTAGAGGAGAGTTGCTCATTAAACCATCACAGGAGCAGGCACTGTAAACACACAGCCCCCAGAAAACCAGAGAAATGTTACGTCCGCACAAAACATTGCGAGTCACCTCAATAATCTGTATAACCCTGAAATACTCATGTGAGTAAGATCTTCAAAATGTAACAACTTACATTTACCAAAGTTGACATCAGATTAACCGATTTAAAACAAATGTGTTAAAATTAAAATTTATAGCTTATGATCAAAAATTCTAGACTGCTCTCTGTAACTTCCCATAGTGCAAGTGTGCACAGCTACTATTCCATCCCAGCTCACCAGCAATGAAGGAGCTGAATGAATTCACTCCATTGCTGTCAGTACTGATGCTTATTCTGTTCTGTAACATCAATCTCAACATTGTCTTCTTCAGATAGGCATAGGACACAGTAATTGTGAAAATTTATTTAAACTTTGACATAACTTCTGTCACTAGTCATTGGGTAAAGACACTCACCGTGTCAGGCTAAGCCTAAAGAAGAAAATTGTTACAATATAACTATTAGGACAAATATTGAAACTAGAGATAACACAGCGTGGAGCTGGAGGAACACCACAGGAGAGGCAGCGCCACAGGAGCAGGAAAGTTGACGTTTTGTGTCGGGACCCTTCTTCAGAAAATGAGCACTTTCCTGCTCCTCTGATGCTGCCTGGCCTGCTGTATTCCTCCAGCTCCACACTCTGTTATCTCTGACACCAGCATCGGCAGTTCTTCCTATCTCTGAGATATTGAAACTATATTGATTGTTTAGGATGGAATGATCAGAATGATAGCAGGGATAAGAAACCAGTGATGAAATCTGAAAGAGTGGGATATTTATGTTGGAGAAGAGATGATGCTTTAGTGGAAACCTTTAAAAATGATGAGTTTCAATAGGGGGAATAGATGATAGTTTCTGCTGATTGGAAAATTATTAACAGAGGATTATTAAGCTAAAACTTTCACGAAGGGATGGACAAGAGAGAGTAGAAGGCAATCCTCATTCATAGTTATTAGACAGCAGTAGGCTTTACTGCATGTCATGGTTAAGCATATATGAAGAAAAAAGTAGAAGAAATGAATTGTGATCAGAAGGGAAACAGAGATATGGAAAGACATCAAGAAAAGAGCTTGCACAGGTATGATGGGTGCAATGGCCTCCCTCAGTGTTAGAGGAGGCATCTACATCTTACCTTGGTTACTGCGTGCTGAATAGTGATTGAGAATAGCATCTAACTAACTTCCTGCACCTCAGTGTAAATATCTGCCGACTTTCAATTCGCAAACTCGCTCTGCTTCAATCTTTCAGCTGGCATGCCTTAATTATCCGCTGGCCAATCAGTGGCTGGCAGCTCTGCATTACTGATAGCTCTACCAAGTGCCGTGGGCACTGTAGTTCAGCCAGCAATTAACGATCGATCTAGACCTACAGGGATCTTAGGGTGTGAAGAAATGTTGGACAACAGTTATTGGAGTGGGGGGCAGGAAATGGCAATGCAGTGGAGGGAAAACTGTTGGGGCAGACTCTAATTGTCCTGGAACCTGAAACAGAGGTCCTCACAATGGCACAGCATTTATTTAACGTGCCTACTCTAGGGTAGCCACTAAGACTCAGCCCCTTGTTATAACTGATTGAATCCATTGGGGAACTGCAACTACTAACATTTTCCGAGGGCACTCAAAGAAATTTCCTGGTTATTAGTTATGGATTGTAGAATCCCAACAGTACAGGTAGAGGTCATTTGGTCCATCAAGTCTGCACCGCCCCCTCGGAAGAGCATCCCAACAAAATCCACACCATCCCCATATTTCCCATGGCTAATCCACCTAGCATGCGCATCCCTGGACACTATGGGGCAATTTAACACAGTCAATCCACCTAACCTGGACATCTTTGGACTGTAGAAGGAAATCTGAGCACCTGATATAAACCCACACAGACACACGGAGAACGTGCAAACTCCACACAGAGAGTTACCCAAGGCTGCAATTGAAGTGGTGGCACATTGAGTCCATAGCTCTCTGCCAGCATGCCATACCAGTGCCAGAATAGTCCAGGGGCAATCCAGAGTGTTTGCAACTGACAAGAATGGAATAATTCAAAAATTTACATTCATACAATACGTTTTAACTTAAAATTTGCAAGCTGCTTCAGAGCATTCTTATCAAATACCATGTCACAGAAAGAAAAAGGCAGTCAGGTGGCTGAAAGCTTGTTCAAAGACGTGGATTTGACATAGAATCCTAAAGGGTGGAAGTGAGGTAGAGGATGGAGCCTTAGAGCTTAACTCCAGGCAGGTGAAGATGTTATCATCAGTGGTGCAGTTGTCAAAAAGTGGTGAGCTCAAGAGGCCAGATTACAGAAATCTGGAGTGTTGTGAGGCTTGAAGACACCAGAGAGATAAGGAAAGCTGAAACCAAGCAGGGATTTGAAATTATGGGTAACATTTGAAAATTACATATTGCTTAACTGGAAGCCAAAGTAAGGCAATGAAAGAGGTGAATGGAATTTGACATGTATGAGGTACTAGGCAGGAGAATTTGGAATTATTTCAGGTTTAGGTGGGGAAGATGCAGGAAGTCAGCTAAGAGAATATTGGAATGGTGATGTCCAGAGGTAACAAATGCACAATTGAGGTTTCAGGAGCAGATGAGGTAATGTGTGGGCAAACATTACAGAGATGGAAACAGGCAGTTTTAGTAATGGCATGGTTATGTAATCGGAAGCTCAGCGCAGTGAGCAATTCCCAGTGGATTGAAGGTGCCTTTGTATAACTTAGAAGTGATCAATTCCTGTCCTTTGTCAGTTCATCATTTTATATTCTGAGGAATAATCTCTGATCTCACCAAATCTAAACATGATGCCGCTATGGGACGGAAGCTCTGCCCATAGTAGAGCCACTTGTCAGCAGCTTTCCCTGCCCAAGACCAAAACTGAGTAAATATGAGTCAGTGTTTGACTGTGGTTGAGGCGCGGGATATAAAGACTGAACGCAGCAAGGAAAGGGCAGAGCAAGAGAGAGAAGCAGCTCCCTTACTCTGAGAAAGCAGCCAGCTGATCACACAAGAGGCAGAATGAAAGCCTTCCTCCTCACCATTGCTGCAGTGCAGATTCTCCACTGCTCAGGTAGGTACCAGAGAGAGCGGCACCCCATCGAGCAATGAGTTACTGGCAATGAGGCTCACTCGCTGAGATATCACCAATGTGTAAAAATAACTCGCTGAAGAACTCCGGAATGTTTTGTGCAATTTTCCTTTTCTCTCAACAGGAATACCAAGCCCTAAAGATGCTCTGAGAGTGTCTGTTCTAAAACTGAACCAAATTACTGAGACCAGCAATCTGTGTGGGATAACCAGGAGACGAGTGAAAGATGTAAGTGTGTCCTGGCCTCAATCAGTTTCACTCTCTAAACTCTGCAACATTATTACTGAGTGCAATTCACTCAGATTATCAAACAGGAGCAGAATGTTATATTACACTTAGGCTGATGAATCAGACTGGAGGTAGGGAGAGATGATATTGCGCAAGGATTTGAAAGGAGGATAGCAATTTTACAATCAATGTGCTGCTTACTTCGTACCCAAAAGAAGACAATGAGCGCTGGGATAAATGGAACTAGATGTGAGTTAAGTACTACCACCAGAATTCTGGGTGACCACAATTTTACGGGTGGAAGATGTGGGAGGTCATTAAGGGAATATTAGAATAGTGAAGCCCAGAGCTAACAAATGCACGAGAGGTTTTAGGAGCAAATGAAATTAGGCAGGGTTGAATGATATTAGATACAGCCAGATAGTAATAAGCTGCCTCCCTCATTAGATTCAACGCACTGGAAAATTGTCATACAACGTGGATTTAACATTCTCTGTGAAAGAAACCGTCTGCTCCAAGAATTCTGGACTGGAATTTGATGATCCCAGTTGTTACTTCCATCCCAAAAAGACTGCGGTAAGTTCGAAAGTCACATTGTCACACCCAAACCAGCATGTGTACTGAGGGGGGTGTTATATCATTGAATGTAATTTTAATCAATTCTGTTTTGACAGGAGAAAGGTTTGTGTAAAAGTCGTGTTGAATACTTTGCTGATGAGGTTGTTGATGTTGCTGTGGAGTGTCAGGGGTTGAAGACGTTTGATAGCAACAGTGACATTTCAGAGTCGAGTGAAAACAGCATTGAGGTAATTTTATAATTGTACATATCCGCTTAATGAGATTTTTAATATCACAGATAATTTACATTTCTCATTGGTCTGCTGTGCTAAATAGAGAAATATTAATATTTCATTACAGGTCAAAACTAAGTCAAAGGAGATACCAAATGAGGATTCAATTAATGTGAGTACAAACTAGGAATTTGTCAGATTTTTTCTCATTGATCAGGAAAATTCATAAAATGCTTAAACTCCAGGATCAAACTGTGTCAGAGCGAAGTATCAGACAGCAAGTTGTTTTAATCAGAGATAGTAGGGCAGGGGAGCCAAGTCTGATGCTAAAACCAAAATACAGAGAAAGTTTGTTCTTTCCTGTAGACCAAATCAACTGAAATCCATAGGGCTACACAGGTACAAACAATGACATTAGAAGTGCAGTGTCTCTTACAATTTTACGAACGATAAACACTAATTACTTGTCATTCCTTGACGGAACTGCAGATTTGTCACAATAAATCCCAATTAATGGAGAATCAGAGCCGCCATTCTTTTATCCATCAATCCCACAGACTGTGTTGATCAGTGCTGTGCTAGAGATTTTCAGTAAGGATTTCTCCACTCCAGCCATAGCCCTACCAGATCATAGGCTGCTCTTTTGTTGAGGGAGAGAGACAATTAGTAGTGGTTTAACCTGAGGTTCACCACACCTCAGGTAAGGGGAGAGTTTGAAGAGGAGAGTCTTTCACGCCAACTTCATCCAGTGCAGAAATTGAACCCACACTGTTAATGTCACTCACCACCTGTCCAGCCCAACTAAAGCTAACAGAATTTCCCAAAGGTAAAGCACTGAGCCATTGACTGCCAACTTGGAAACTCAAAACGTTGCTGCTTCCACATTTGGAACCTTGTTGACATTTAATGATTTTGTTTCAAGTTGATGCCACAAATCAAAATACTAAACGTTCCAATCTGGGTATTTTAATCCAGGAGGAAAGCAAGTCAACCGAATCATCGCTGGAGGAGTCTCCTGATGTGAGTACTATCTGAGATTTTTTCTGTCAGATAGCTATAACAAATGTAAACTATTGATTCAGCTGTATCAGAACAAGAATCTGAACCAGCAGTGTGTATTTCATTTAGTTAAACGCATTTCTACAGTCTATAAATTGAAAACAGTTAACGTCTCTTAATTTATGGCCTATTAATCACTAAATCTTTGGCTTAAAAATAATTTCAATTATAGTAATAGTATTATAATACTAGTTTCTAATTTAATTGGCTTAAATATAATTCTTCAGCTCAATATTTGTAGTAAAATATTAAATCGATTCCCTGCAATAACTAGATGTATCTGAATATTTTATTCCAGGTGAAAAGCAAGTCAACAGAAACATCCCTTGAGGACTCTCCCAATGTGAGTATTTATTTTTTATTTTATATTTATCTCACTATCTCTTCATTAACCGAGGGTCATGTACGATGGTGAGTGCCATGGGTCAGGGTGAGGAGGAGGCTGGATCCAAGAGCTATCTCAGCTGGTGTAAGAATTGAGCCCACCCTGTTGCCATTGTTCTGCATCAAACTCTCTCCACTTAACAACTGTACTAACTCCCACCATCTGATAGTTATCAACTTCAGTTGTTGGATTGATGCTAATTAGATGGTGATTGATTCCTAACATTGAGAAGTTTCCAGTAACTGGAGCGACACAAATGATGGTTTCATGAGGACACCTTCGCTGTCATTCTCCTCATCCAATCGATTAGAAATTACTGGTTCTTCTGGAAGTGTGGATACATTACACACTCATCAATGGAAAATGTCAGCCACCACCATGCATTTGTGTGTGTGTGTGTGTGTGTGTGTGTGTGTGTATCTGTGTTGTTTGTGGTGGTGGGGTGTCTTGGTGCACTAGAGCACCAGACACGTTTGGCGAGGATTTCTCTGCTCCAGCACTGAGTCACTGAATTCAGACTCTGAACTTGAAAAAGTTGTCACTGCCTCATTGACAATCTGATATTATTTCACTATTTTGCTTAGAGATGATTTGAATGATTGAGATTATTTGCAAAATGCTAAGTATTCCAGCATTTTTTTAATGCAGGTGAACAGCCAGTCAACAGAAACATCATTTGAAGATTCTCTAAATGTGAGTATAATCTGCGATTTTCTGTCATAATTATTTATGCAAAGAAAATGTTAAGATTTGGAATTAACTGCATCACACTTAAAAGCAATTCAGTTTTTATTAAATTAAATGGATGTCTAGAGAATAGAAGGTTCAAGAGTTAACATTTCCTCATTTATGGTTTAATAATCACTGCAATCTTTGATTTAAAAACTAAGCAGTGAAGTTGTTGATATACAGTTCTGGACACCATACATCAAATGAATGTGAATGCATTTGAGGGAGTGCAGAAGAGTTTTACAAGAGTGTTTTCAGGGATGAGAAACTTCAATTATGAAAATAGATTAGAGAAGTTCATAGAATCATGGAATCATAAAATTTGAGTCTGCTTTCCTTAGATAGGAGAAGGCTAAGATGAGATTTGATAGAAGGTTTCAAAATCAAAAGGGGTTGAAACCAACTGGATGGAAAGAAACTGTTCCCTGGTTATAAATGAATGCATCCAGAATGAGAAAACAGAGATATCAGGTAATTTCAAAAAGATGCAAATGCAACATGAGAAAAAAAAGACTCTTTCACACAGCAAGTAGTTGTGGTCTAGAACACACTGCCTGGAAATATGGTGGAGACAGGTTCAATTGAAACAAATGGAAACTTATTTAGGATTATGGGAAAAGGCAGGAGAATAACACTGAGTCACAATGCTCAGTTAGAGAGATGATTTAGAAACAATGGGCCAAATGGCCTAATTCTGTACTATAATGATGCTGTGACAAAGATAGTTCCAATATTCAACGTTAATTACAAAATAGCTCTTGGATTCTTTGTGTAAGCATAGTAGCCCGAATATTTTAATGCAGCTGTAAAGCCTCATTTACAATCAGATATCATTTAAACTGCTGTTTTAGAGCAGAATCTAAAAATCAAGATTATTTAGAAATACTAAGTATATAAATCTGCATACTCTAGATGAGGAGCAAATCAACAGAAACATCAGTGGAGGATTCTCCAGATGTAAGTACAACCTGAGATTTTATGTTGTTTATACTATTAACACAAATAAGCTGTTGAAACCTGGATTCAGTTGCAATGCACAAGTCTGACACAGCTCTGTGTTTTTAACCAATTCAATATATGTATAGACTCTGTAAATTTAAACAGTTAATATGTCCTCATTAATGGCTTAGTAATCAGAAGAACCTTTGGTACAAAGATAATTTCAACGTTCAATAACAGATGAAAGACATATCATTGATTCCCTTTAATAACCAGATGAATCTTAATTTTTTTTAAACAGTTGAACAGCAAGTCAACAGAAACGTCGTTCGATGTGTCATCAAATGTGAGTATAAATTGGACATTAGTGTCAGAGAATTGTCTCTCGATCATGATCATAATATGCTGAACTCACATTGAACTCGGCCCATTTGAAAATGACCATTACTTTTGTTCTGTTCATCCCAGGAACAAAATGATGATTCAAGATCTTAACTAGGAATGAAACTTCTGAAAGTCTGAACTTGATGTGAACACAAGAAGACCTCATTCATATTAAAGAAGATGTTACCAATTGTATTTTGTTTGTTCATTAATAAGGATGAAGGGACCTGGGGTTCCTGTCTGTATATTTTACTGTAACTGGGAGATTCTATAATTTGTAAATGTTCTGTCCTTTGGTGTAGTTATCTTGGTTTCTATGGATCATATTAAAATCATAAAGAATATTTTCTGGTGTTTCTCATTTCAGTGATTAGATTGGAGTTTAAACAGATATGGTGCTCAATCCAACCTGTCACACACTGTGACCAATTCCCTCAGTTGACTGGTGGGGCTGCTGGGGAATTGGGGATTCATAGCTAAAATTGGATGAGTGAGAAAGGACACATGGGTTAATAAGACGACCACTTATTTCATTCTATGGACTTCCAAATTACTGGGTTGCATAATTGATCCCACTGTCTTAATTAACTGTAGCACCTATTGGGAAGGAGCAAGAGAATATGTTAAAAATATCCAGAAACAATTCTCTTGCTATTTGTTCTAAAGCTGAGTCAGGAGGTTCACAGTGCAACAATGGCTGTGAAATTCAAAAATTCGCTTTCGCATTACTCCACAGAGAGGTGGTACAAGCACTAGTAATGATGCAATATCTACTTCAGAGACATGGTCCATGGTGAAAAATGTTGGGAACTAAATATTCCAGGGCATTCGATATTTCATAAAGATAAATAAAAATTAGTAAGGAGGAATAGCCTGATATTAAAACCATGCAGACATAAGAGAGCAAGAACGCTGGCTGAGAAGATCAGGAAGTAGAATCCTTATGGGTGGAAATAAGAAATAAGAGCCAGAAAACAGTAGTGGGATTGTTAATAGGCCCCTAGCATTCGGACAGTATCTTGATCAGAAAATCTTATAATAAAGGCAATAATATTGTTATGGAAGTCTTTAAACTCCATATAGACTGAGCAATTTAAATTGACACAAAGAGGTTTCAGGATGAGTTCACTGTATGTATTTGAACTCATTTCCTCAAATGACAGGTGATGAAACCAAGTTGGACAGAGGCTATTCTAGATCATGTGCAATGAAAGCGTGTTAGTGAATGATCACTTAGCAAAACATCGTCTAGTGATCTGTAATCACAGATTTATTTTTACATTAAATGTGGAAGTGCATAGATAAGTCTGCGTAAAACTAAAGTATTAAACTTAAATAAAGCCAATCACATTTGTGTTTGGAGCATGTTGGCCATGATAGATGGGGAGATTTGGTGAAAAGCGTGACAGTCCCCAGCAAGTACAAATATTTGAAAAACTATTTCAAACTCTGAGTCATAGAGTCAAGGAAAAAGACCCTTTTGACCAACTAGACCAACCATGTTCCCAAACTAAACTATCTGCACTTGCCTGCTTTTGGCCCATATCCCTCCAAACTTTTCCTATTCAGGTACTTATCTAAATGTCTTTTAAACATTGTAACTGTACCTGCATCCACCACTTCCTCTGGCAGTTCATTCCACATACGAACCACTCTCTATGTAAAACAGTTGTCCCTCATGTCCCTTTTAAGTCTTTCTTCTCTCACCTTAAAAATATGACCTCTAGTTTTGGACTCTCCCACCATGGGGTAAAGACCCTTGCTGTTCATCTTATATATGCCCAGCATGATTTTATAAACCTCCATAAGGTCACCCCTCAACCTCTTATGCTCCAATGAAAAACATCCCAGCCTAACCAGTCTCTCCTTATCACTCAAACCTTCCAGTCCCAGCAACATCCTTGTAAATCTTTTCTGAACCTTCTCCAATTTAATAATACCCTTCTTGTAAAGGGCAACCAAAACTATTCACAGTACTCCAGAAAAGGCCTCACCAATGTCCTGTACAGCCGCAACACGATGTTCCAATTCTTACCCTTATAAATCTGTTGTGAATCCTCTCCAAACATCTGTTTCATTGAGTTACAAAAGTGCTGTGAGAAAACCAGTTGATCATACACTAAGTAAGGGGTTAATAGTAGCATACTAATAAAATAAGGTACATTTAATGGATGTCACAATGGCTCAATGGTTAGCACTGCTGTCTCACAATATTAGGCACCTGGGTTCGATTTCATCCTTGTGTCTAATTTACACATTCTCCCTGTGTCTGCATGAGTTTTCTCCAGATGCTCCAGTTTCCTCCCATAGGCCAAAGATATGCGGGTTACATGGATTGACCATGCTAAATTGCCATAGTATCCAGGGATGTGTTGGCTAGGTGGATTAGTCATGGGAAATGCAAGTTGACAGGGATAGGGTAGGGGGGTGGATCTGGGTGGCATGCTCTTCAGAGGGTCAGTGTGGACTCGATGGGCCAATTGGCCTGCTTCCACACAGTAGGGATTGTATGATTCTGATGTTTGACGGCTAGTACTAAGACTAGGGATTAGGGGAATTTTAGAAAGTAGCAAAAGGTGGTCAAAAATTAATAAAGGTGTCAACATATTATACAAGAGTAAACTAGTCAAGAATATGGAACAGATTGTCAGAATCATCCATGAAAATGAAGAGAATATCTAAGGTAAATGTTAGTCCTTTACAAGCAAAGCCTGGAGATATTATCATAGGAAAAAAATAAAGGCAGAGAAATTGAACAAATATTTTCAAAATAAAAGACACAAAAATATACCAGAAATATTGGAGCATTAAATCGGAATGAGTTAGGGAATGTACATACAACTTTTCAATATTCTCAAAAAAATTTTGGACATTCACAGTTGATTGCTTGGTCACAAATCTGACACTGCTATTCACAAAAGCAAGAAGAGAGAGAGAAAACAGGAAACTACAGCCCACTTAGCTTAACCATCATTAGGAAAATCCTGTAATCCATTCTAGAAAAGTTATAATAGGATCATTATAAATCATTACGTGGTTTGATGAAAGAGGAATTTTGCTTGATTAATTTAGTAAATTTTTCAGAAGATATAAATTGGAGGGAAGATGGAGGGGAAACCAGACGCTACAGTGCATTCAAATTTTCAAAAGGCATTTGATAAGGTGCCACATGAAAGGGTGTTATGCAAAGATAATGGGCTATGTTGAGGATAAAAAGATTATCAGAGACAGAAGATTAGTAGGATAAATTACAGATTATATGGAGTAATTTGGAGTTCTTACTGTCTGAGGTCAGGTAAAGAGTTGGAGGAAGGAGGGAAACAGACTAATTTTGCTGCTCCATTCAACTTAGCAGGACGCTATACTTAAAGTAAATGAAATGACATGACATACAGTACACTTATCAAATGTTCAACGATCTGACAGAGTTTCAATGATGTGAGGTGTGCTAGCACTGTGTCAAATTTAATTTGTCTCATTAAAACAGGCCATGTTCAAATGCAGCAAGGTCTGCACAATATCCAGGCTTGGGCTGCAAAGTAGCAAATATCATTCATTCATGTAATAGTCACACCAAAGCCAGGAAATGACTGAAATAACTCCACAGAGGCTGATATCCCGTCACCAAGTCACCCTTTATTTACATGTGCATAGTACTTGATTCCGGTACAGCTCCCTCAGAGCCAGCTCTCAGAGTGAACAGAACCTCTGACGCTCCTGTTTATATCTGTCAGCCAGGGCTCCCTGATTGGACCAGAGTAACAGCTCAATCAAGGAACTCATATTCTATGAGGCCACCCTGGCTGATGTCATTACAATCACTACAATGACCATCTTCAACAAAAGCTTTTGTTAGTCCCATAACACCAATGTTTTCTGTAGCCCTGCAATTATTTTCTCTTTAGATAGTTCTCTTTGTAAGCCTTGATCAAACCTGCATCCAACATGTGGCAGTTGATGCATCATCCACAGGTCTGGGAGTAGCCGTATTGCAGATTCAACATGATGGGATATGAAGGGCTGTCTCTTGTTCTTCAAGGACTCAGGCCAGACAGCAATATGCTGGACTAGGGAAAGAAGCACTCACCATGACTCAGGAATGCAAGAAATTCTCTGACTGAGCTTTAGACCATCCATTTAAGATTTAAAATACTGATAACTCTATGGAGTACAGAAGAGATTCCAAAGAAGCAATCGAAAATCCAGAGATTTCAATTGTAGCTGCAGTGGTATGACTTTGCTGTGGAGTATGTGCAAAGAGAAACCAAACTATTGTTGATGGTCTATCAAGACTAAATGTTCAGGAAAAACAGATGGAAACTTTGCCTCAGGAATTGAGGCTTTCACCTCCTGAAGCATTCAATATTCACCAGTAACACCAAGAAAGATCCAAGAGCGTTGAGAAGCTCAATTTTGCTATGAAGAATGTATGTAAATTTTCGTAAACTTTGTTGAATCCTGACCGTAATAATCTCAGTATTTGCATCATGTAGCAGTATTTTGAACAACATCATTACAAGGGCATTATTCATGACTTCTTGGTTTGTGGTTAGAGCTTGGTGATTCCACAAGCTCTCCATTGGGATCACCTCCAGAAGATTCACCAGAGACATTTTAATATTTCCGACGGCCAGGCCAAGGCTTGTTTCACATTGTCTCAAAGAAGCAGTCTCTGCACTATACACTATTGACAGGAGCAGAAACGATGCTTCTGCCCTTCTCTTTTCCAGCCAGGCCATGGGAATGCCTTGGCATCAGTCTTCAAGAATTTCTCATCTTGATCAATGATTATTCCCATTGGATTGTGTTTCTGAGTAAGTTTGACTAACGTCTGAAGCTTTCTAATCTTTCTGAAGAGTATATTTCCCACACACAGAATCCGGGCTATTGTCACCTGTGACCAGAATTTGCCAATGAGTATTTATGGTGCAATCCCAATTAAGTGATCATCTCTTTCTTATTTCTCAGTTCCACCCAATAGCTTCCCTGGACATATTCCCAAGAATATCCTCTCTAAGTACAGCCGTAAAATTATCCTTAATCAAAAACGCCACTCCCTCTCTGCTCTTCTATCCTTCCTATAGCATCTATACCTGGAACATTAAGCTGCC